TGCCGAAGAAACAAGATAACTGAACACGACATCCAGAACTACTTGCGCGCCCAGAATGGGCACTATTCGAAATGGATGGACTGTAATGCTCTGCTACACAACCCCGACAAGCTCTGCACTCGGCCTGCCATCGGGCAGCCCGACATCGAGCGATGCATCATAGCGCGCCCGAGTCCTGGGCGATCAAAGAAGCCACCACCGCGAGCCTGCGCTAGCCAACGCAACCCAGCTCCCATCACTTGATGACACAGGTCGAGCAATGGCGCCACCAACACGAGACTCTGCGATCTGAAGCAACACCGTTCCCGTCACTTGATGGCGATTTCAATGGTGGGCTCCGGGACAACGTCGACCTGCGTGACGGGCATGAGAAGCGCGTCCTTGAGAAGGTACAGCATGCCTGGGGCGCTACCAATGGGCCCCCGCCCCGTCCCATGGTAGACCACGGCACGCATGCCGTCGGCGAGCGCCCGACTGCCAGCGTTATGGCCCACGGCGCAACACTGGATGAAGGCTCCTGCAGGATCCACCAGGCAAAACACGCGCTTCGGGCTGCCAGCAACCGTCGCTCCCATGTCCTGCACACTTGTCACGACGCCTGAGAAAGTTCCCCGAAATGGTGCCTCCAAGCGGTCTTTCAAGCCGAAGAAGTCGACGCAAACGCCGTGCGCGGGCACCTCGCACGCACGCCCGGGAGCCATGAAGGGAGACGACGCCGTCACGAGCGCCATTACTTTGGTCACAGGCATGAGAGGGCTCCGAGCCGAGCTCGTGTGCAGCGTGCGGATTGGCGTCACCATGGCGCCGTTCCAGTCGCTCGAGGATAAGCTGCTCACCCGCACGTTGGTCACGCGAATGATCGGCTTCTGCTGCTGCTCTGGCCGCCCGCCCCGTCTTGCTCCCGTCTGTTTGGCGGCCACTTCTGCCAAGAACTGTTTGACGGCGTCGTCCCATAAGGTCAGGATAAGAGGCCCCGTGCGGTCCACGACGAGAACGTCCATGGCCATCGTCGTCTTCTCGGGCGCGCTCGCCTTGCGCTTGGATGGCGACTTCCCAGCATCCCCCTTTCCGACGGTTCGAGGCTTGTCGTCGTGCGCCAGCACGTACCCTTCGTAGACGAAATAGCCGTCCACACTGCCATCTGCATACACCACGATGCTCCCGATGTACTCTGCGGCATCGGCCTGGGGGGCCGCCGTGCGAACCTCAACCGACAAATCGCCCAACACCCCCTCGACTCCCAACTCACCGTGGCTCAGCCTTGAGCCCTCAATGCGTCTGGCCTTGCTCGCCGGTCTGGGCGAAGCCGCGCCGCGCGCCGACTCGAGGACAATCGACGCCGCGCCAGACGCCTGCGGGCCGCCCGCCCCGCGCTTCGTCTCAAACATGCCACTCTCCGTCATGTTCTTCAGAATGAGGTAGTACTGCTCCTTGCAGAAGTCCGCTGGCGGGTCTTCGGGTAGCGCAGCCCTCAGCGCCGCCGGAATGGCCCGGCAGCAGTCCGCCCGCGCCGTCGCCAGCGCCTGCCCCACGGCGTCGAAGTCTTCCCTGCTCCTCCCTACGAGCAATGCTTCCTTGACCGTTACGCTCAAGCCTTCGGTACTCTCGTCGGGTTGAATCATCGGCAGAGGGGTATCCAGGTCCAACTGCATGCCATCAGTCGCGTCAGCGAAACCGCGGCGCTCCATCATGCCCTTCAAGATGACGTAGTACTGCTCCTGGAAGAACTCTCGAGGCGCGTCCGTGGGGAGCGCGGCCCGCAGCGACGCTGGAAACGCAGCGCGGCGATCGGCCCACGCCAGTGCCACGGACACGTTCACCTCTTCCAGCTCTTCAGCGCTCCTCCCTGCAAGCAGCGCTTGCTTCGCCTCCATGGGCATGCCTTCGGTGCTCTCATCGGGCGAAACGACTGGCTCCGCCAGCGGCAGCGCCATCTCCAAGTCGCGCCCCGCGTCCTCGAACTTCCCCTTCGCCGTCATGTTCTGGAGAATGAGGTAATAAGTTTCTTGCAGAAACTCCGACGGAGGTACTTTTGGCAACGCGGCCCTGTAGGACGCGGGTATTGTGCTGCAGCGATCTGTCCAGGCAGACGCCACGGCGCGGTCCACCTCCCCCAGGTCCCGGGCGCTCCTCCCCGCAAGCAGGGCGTTCTTAGCGTCCAGACAAATGCCCTCCGTGCTTTCCTCTGGCCGCGCCGCCGGCCGCGGAGCAGCCGCCGCCGACGCCAGCGCCCCCGCGGCATCTGCCTTGCGCCGCGAAAGCACGACGTCTTCCATGATGTCGTAATATTGCTGGATGAGGAACTTGCTGCAGACACCGTGCACGTCCCCCACGACACCCTCGACGGACGAACGGATTCCGCGCCACATATGGTGCAACTGCGCGTCGAACACGGCAACATCAGCGGACGTGAGCTCCTTCGTGACGGCCACCGCGGCAGCCCGCTTCTGCTCGCACGGCAGACTACTCGGCTGCACCATAGGAATGAAGACGCCGAACTCGAAGCGGTGCGAGAGCTTCCCCGAGTCCGCGAACTTGGCCACGTAGAACTCCCGCACGTGCGTGTAGTACGAATCACGAGCCCACCGCGCTTCCCGGACCGGCGGAGGCACGTCCGCGTCCTCGCAGGCGTCGCGGAAGAAGGCCGCCTTCCTCGCATCGATGAAGGATTGGAGCTCGACGTACTCTGTCTTCATCACGAACGCGGCCCAGCTCGCGGCCGCGTCGCGCTCTGCCTCCCCCGCGCACTCCTCCGGGCGCACCAAGGGGAACTCCCCCGCGTTGGCGCGGCGCGCAATGGCGTCCACCAGACTCGCCAGCGCGCCCCCTTCCTCATCGTTGTCGTCGTCGCCACATCCGAGCGACACGCACAGCGCGTGGAAATCTGCCATGTTCACGTCGTGGCTCTCATCCCACCCACGGGCTTGCATGGCGCAGGAGATGTCTTCACAGCTCTTGCCGAACTCGGTGAGGAGCATCTCCAACCCCGCAGCGCCTGGGCGCCTCAGCACCCCATCCGAACCTGACGCCGCCTGCTCGAAGATTGCCACAAAGCGCGCGTCCATCGCAGAAAGTCGCCTCTGCGGGGAGAAAACGCTAGAGTGGACAGCGGAATCGCGCAAGAGCCAACGCGCCTGCCAATGCAACATGTTTATATCACATACACATGCGCGGGGAATGGTTGCGGACTTCAATGCAGTCTGTTCCTCTTGCTCACCCGAATCCTCCCGAAACTAACACATCGCGCCCCCTCTTGTCTAGGAACGCGCGGGCGCGACTTATCTGACATCGTGGGCTTCTGCACCCGGCGTGTGTCGCGGTGCGCACTACCGTGTCCGCGCCTGTTATCCAGTTCGGGGGAACATCAATATTTCTCCGCCCTTGTTGTGGACACGGCCGACTAACAGCTCGGAATTTCGCCCCTCCGGCAGAGCGGCCGGGCGATAATGCCACGCCCAGGCTAAAGCAAGAACAGAGAGCAGGGAGAACTGTGAACAAATCGTGCCCTGCCCGCATTGGCGTAGCAACGTGCGAACAGCAGCGAGCAGCGATTGGAAGCGATGTTCACAAATTGCGCCCCCTTCTTGCGTAGCAGTGTGCGGGCAGCACCGGGCAGCGATTGGAAAGCGACGTAAACGAAACGTGCCCCACTCTTGTGTAGCCACGCTTGTACATGTCGTACCGGTGCGTTTGTCGGAGCGCGTCCTGGCCAGACTCTCAAGGTCGGACCTGGCCGTGGCGACGACGAAACCTGCGCCACGTGGCGTACCGAGCGCGGCTGGAGCACGTGGCACACTCGGCACACGTGGAACAATTGGCGCATCTGGCGCACCACGCGCGCCTGGCGCGCTGGGGCCCCTGAAGCACCTGGCGCGCTTGGTGTGGGTGGCGCACCTGGCAAGCGAGACATCGCGCGGCATTCCGACGTGCCGGGTTTCAAGGGCCATGCCACCCAACGCCCGGATTCCAGCCTCGGCCTGGCTCTGGCCAGCTGCTCGGAGCCGCCCAGGTCGCCGAATAATAACCTTGTAGGGAGTTTGAGCGCCCATCGGGAGTACAAAGCTGCCGCCCACGAGTTGGTTGAGCGGAGAGTCTGAGGTCAACCGCCAGCTGGCTCGAGTTTGGTACATGGTGCGAGTTCACGCAATGTTTAAAATGATTGTGGCAATTATGAAATGTTTCAATGCTGTTGGCGCTCGATGAATAATGCCTGTATATCAGAATATGATATGAACGCCAGGCGTGATCCCAAGCCTATCGACAACAGGTAGAGCAACCCGCTGCGACGTCTTCCCACAATGTGCAGCGTATGCGGGCCATCCTGCTTGCAAGCAGATCACACTTCCATCGATCACTTGGGGGATCGACGATCTGGAGTGCAGATCGAGCTCTCACAGAGGATCGGCGCCCAGATGGAGGTCTCCAGCTCAGAGCTGCATATGTGCACCCCTCCGACAACTCCATCTCTTTTCGCTCCCGCGACGTCGATTCTTTCTCGCAGCGCGGTCCCCCGGATGCCTCGATAGCTTCCCCAGAGCCGGCTTTTTGTTCCGAGTCGATTCTTGCAGCCCCAAGGCCGGGAAACGGCCTCCGGAGGCCGACAACGCCGAAGGACCGCCCGTTGCAACGCTTGTTGCGTCGCCAAATATCTGAAGGAAATCCACTCAAGATGGGTCCCCGGGCCCCACCCACCATGGTCTACACGCACAATTTTTTCGCGCTGCGTGCAGCCGTGGCGACCCCGGGCCCCTCCCGGGGTCCATCCGATGCAGTGTTTCGTGCTGGGTCCGTTTTTGAAGGCCCCGGGTCCCGAAAACGGCCTCTGCGGGCCGAGAGCGACGAAAAACCAAGGCCGCCAACAAAAAATCGGTGGAAAAAGTTGCGCTAATCTTTCGGGCCAGCGGGGGAGGAGTGGGAGGAGCGGCAGAGGGCGCGGAGGAGCAGGGAGCGGGAGCCGGGAGCCGGGAGGAGGCACCGGGCACCCTCCAGGGATCTCCGGCCTCCGCCGGGTCCAGGCTCAGCTGCTGCGCGCCGGCCAGGAACTCCTCGAGGTGCAGGAGGTGGGGGCCGCCCCTGCCCAGCCGCTTTCTGGAAAAAGAAAGAACGCCATAAACATACACTTTCGGAGGTCCGCGCGCGCTTCATGGATCGGCGCTGGACCCCCCTCCCTGGCTCGCGGAGCGCTCTAGGGGCGGCGCCAGAAGCGCCGCCAGGGGGGGGGCCCAGCGCCGATCCAGGAAAATCCGCGCGGACCTCCGAAAGTTTATGTTTATTGCGTTTTTTCTTTTTCGATTTTTGCCCCCAGCCCTCGAGGATCGAGGAGGGAAATTTTTGGGGGTATGCGGCCGTTTCGGTAGGTTTTTGGACGTTTCCGGCTGATTTCGGACCTCCGGGAACCTCCGTAGGTCAAGGTCCGGAGCTGTCACTGCCCAGCCGCTGGGACCCAGAGATCCGACGCTCCGAATAAATGAACGCGGCCGGTTTTTGACATTGTTCGGCCTCCGGAAACCGTTTCTGGGCCCCAGGACCGTCAAAACACGGCTCAGGACGATATCGGAGCGCCAGATCTCTGGAAAGGCTGTGCTTCTGAGTTTTGCCCCTGGCCCTCGAAGGATCGAGGAGGAGATGTTTGCGGAGATTCTCAATCGTTTTTGTGAAGTTTGTTTTAAATCTCTGCCTTTTTCGGGCCTCCGGGGACCTCCGAGGAACTCCGAATACCTCCGAGGACCTCTGGGGGTCGGAATCCGGGGCGGGAGCAAAACTTACTGGGCTCTGCTGGTGATCCTGCTGCTGCTCCTCATCCTCCTCCTCCCTCCTGCCCAAATCGTTTCCCTCGAGGGCTGGTCGAAGTGCCAGCGCCTTCAGCCCGGATACCCCAACCTGGAAGCGACCATGGGTGCCTGGCCATGTCTGGCAGTGGCGATGGCGTACCCCGCGCGCGCCATGGTGGAGCGGCAGAGCTTGCGGATGCTTCCGCTGCCCCACCAACGCTGCCAGATGTTTTGCGTGCCAGTCAGTGGCAACTAGCCGCATATGTGGAGGCGGCGACTGCGGAGGGCAAGCCAAATGCACACGACACACCTGAGGGGCCCGAAGTTGCGAAAAAACACACCATCGGATGTCAGAGCCGCTCAAGGTGCGCACCGGACCTCTGCAAAGGAACACCGGGGGGGATTAAGCAGCTCGGGCTCCGCACCGCCGCGGGGCACCGGCACTAATGAGTGTGGCAATCCCTCGCCTCCGTCCCAGAAGTCGTCGTCGTCGTCGTCCCAGACGTCGTCGTCGTCGTCGCCACCCTCGTCGCCAATCGTCGTCGTCGCGAGCGCCCCTCTGGTGGGCGCCCCCCTCAAAGGAAGACAGGCCAGACGCGACTGTTTTTAGCGATAGCCTGCAGAATGCATTGCGTGGTACCCGATTGAGGAAAAACGCCTGGCGGGCGCTCCAGGACTTCACACGTGCTACCCGATTGCACAGAGGCGCCTGGCGGGGAGCTGACCAGGACTTACTGCGGAAGAAAGCGGACACATTACAATGTTGCGAGATCCAACAAGCGCCAAGAAATGCTGAAGGGAACCAAGAAGTTCAGAGGCGTGCCGAGGAGCGCGCGGGAGCGAGGAGGAGTGACAGGTATTGCGAAGGGTTTTGAAAAGGGGGTGCGGAGGAGCGCCGACGAGTGCCGACAAGCGCCGAGGAGTGCTGAGACATGTTGAAAAGTGCCGAAGAGTGCGGAGGAAGGCGGAAGAGTGGCGAGGAGTGCCGAGGCGGCGCAAGGAGAGTGGAAAGGTGCCGAGGAGCGCGAGGGAGCGAGGAGGAGTGCCAGAGATTCCGAATAATTTTTGGAAGAGGAGTGCGGACGAGTGCCAAGGAGTGCCGAGGATCGGGATCTTCAGCTACTGCTGCTTCTGAATCCCTCCCTTCGCCCTGCCTCCCTCCGTCCATCCTTTCTTCCTCCTCCATCCTCCCTCCTACCTCCGAGTGCCAACGAGTGCCACGGAGTGCCGAGAGGTACCCATGACTCCGGAAGAGTGCCGAGCAGCGTGAGGGAGCAAGGAGGAACGCCGGGGATTGCGGGAGTGGTTTTCGTTCACGATCTGGCAGAGTGGAGGAAGGATATCTGCATGGCTTCTGTACATCAACAGTGACAACTACCATCGCAATCGAATCAAGAGGCCCGGCACTCCCAGGACCATTCGGCTCGCGGCAGCCGTGATGGCGACGCTGGGTGCAAATGTCGAATGCCCCCATGCAGGGCGCGGCTGTGGCAAACGTCAATGCATGTCAGAGGAGGAGGCGCAACAATACTCGTAAAATAAATCTCCCCGACGGTGCTTGCACTAAAGGGGTCTCCCGCTTCAGGGGCAGGGAAGGGGAAGGGAAGGGGAAACAACGGAGTAGGGGAGGGAGACGGGGGGGGGGAAGGCGCGAGAGAGATGATGATACGCAATACATGAAAGACAGCAAAAAAAGGATGAACAACTCAAGCTGGAGGTCACAGCAAAGCGAAGGCGGCAACGAGGCAGTGGCACAAGCAATGCGCGGGTAGGAGCCCTCGAGGCAGGCACCGGTGGTGAATAGGTGCCAGGATTAACGGACACCTCCCTTCCAGCTCTGAGGGGGGTCCGGAATGTCAAGTCCAAAGTTGCCAGTGGGGTACTGCAGATTTCTCCGCCCTGTCTTCCTCCGCCCCTCTCTCCTCCCTCCTCCATCCTCCCTCCTCTCTCCGAGTGCCGAAGAGTGCCGAGCAGTCCGGAATGGACGGGAGGAGACAAGGAAGGACGCGGGGGGAGCACTCATTCACGTTGCCTCTGGAGGCCCTCCTCCATCCCCACCTCCTCCTCATCATCATCCTCCTCCTCCTTCTCATCCTCCGCCTGCTCTTCCTCTTCATCATCATTTTCGTCCTTGTCAAAGCCCGACGAACTCGGAGGTCGACGTCTGAGCGTGCGCGCTCTGGGAATCACTGCTCCTCTCCCTCCTTCTCCTGCTATTATTCCTCTTCCCCGTCCTCGTCCTCGTCCTCGTCCTGACAACAGCGAACGGCGCGGCCATGCGAATACATTGAATCGTATCACTTCCCCTACTCGCGGCATCCTCCCCCCCCTTTTCATTTCCCCACACGCGCGCGCACGCACGCGCGCACGCGCACACGAACACAAGCACAGACACAGACACACACACACACACACCTACACACACGCACACAACAAAAAAAAACGTACAGGGCGCAGGAACACAAGCTTGTACACACACCCATACGCATACCCACACCCATACAGATACACAAACTTACACACAAGCACACATGAATAGGCACAGGCGCAAGCACACGCACACGCACACGCACACACACACACACACGCAACATTTGACCCGCACGCGCGATTGAATACACACACACTACATAACACGTGCGCGTGCACACGGCCCCTCCCGCACCTCTCCCCAGACATCGTCGTGGTCGCACCGTCTGCGAACCTACGCGCGGGCCCGCGCTCACTGACGAGAGCTGTACTCCACGTGGATCTTCCGACCGCGGTACCAGCTTCCGGCCCACGACTGGACCACCCACGCCGCCACCTGGGAAAGGGAAACAAAACAGCTCCCTACACAACAGCGGTTCCCCCCTAAACCCGCCGCTCCGCCTCTGGGTCCGCGTGCTGGACGACGCAGGACCCGTTGACGCGTCTACGGTAGTCCGTGTACCACTCCACGCGACAAACCTGGGAGGCACAACAGTGCGAGACGCACCGACCACCGGCATCCCGTAGAACAAAATTACAATGGGGAGAAAGTTCGCAGACGAGCCTCGCCAGCTTTGCCGAAGTCGACGAACACCTCGTGCTTCGACAGGGTCCAAGGAAGCTGCGCCACGTACACGCGGCTGCCGCGCACGGGGGACCGCGAGCGACCAGCGTCCTGGGAACCCCGCCCGCATGCAACGTATAGCACATGTGCACACAGAATCCGACAGACCCCAAAAAAACAAAAACACAAAGAAGTCCTCCAAAGCAGGCAGCGGCGGCGTCGTAGGCGCGCGAGGCGCGTCTCCGACTGCAAGCGGCGCCCGCCGCGCCGCGACGACGGCAGGGCGGTAGCTCGCGTCCGGCTGCGCGTCGCCGTCGACGCGCCTCTCGGGAGCACACATCAAAAAACGTTGGAAACGCTACGGCTCCGCCATTCTCTCCGCAGCCCGAAAAAAAACTGGGCACGACACGCCAAAACGCCGTTACAACACCCGCGCGCCTGTAGAAAGCGGAGTGCACCCAGGGGCCGCGCAAGTCCTGGGTGTCACAGGTGGACCCACCGACCTGCGGCGCGCATGCCCACATGCGAGTGAGACGGAAAGAGAAGCGGAGAGAGACAGAGAGACAATAGGAGACAGAGAAAGACACAGAAGGAATAAAATAGCAACAGTCAGAGGAAGTACAGACAAACACATCTGCAGAATGGTAGACGACACTACAACAAATGGCACCGCCGTGGTGGCCTTGATGAACTTATCAACGTTCACCGCAACCACAGTACGAGTGCACGTCACGCCAGGCGTGCCGGTAGCCTGGACGAGCACCTTCTTGCCCAACAAGTCACCCGCAGCGTCTTCGGGCGCGCTCGCCGTAGCAACCTCTGGCGCGAATGCCGAATAAACCCATACTGTGGGAACGCGCAAGCACGCGATGCCCAACGCAAAAGCGCGACAGACCTGCGCGAACGCCCGGGCTGAGACCGGGAACCGCACGACGACGGCTCTGCAACTAGACGCGCCACGAATGCCGAAAGTGAAAACGAATGGTGTGTGGCACACACCCGTGCCCCCCAGATGATGACGCGATGACACCAAAAACCGAACACATAAAATCACGGTGTTGCCCAATCACGTACAGAGACGGGCGCCTTGTAGCACCGCCCGTTTTTTTTTTTTGAGAAAAAACAAACACAGCCGTGCTGAAATAAATGCGCAACGCGCGGAAGCAAGCCTGGTACTGTGTCGGCGAGACCCACACCGTGGACTCCTTGTTGTACTGCCCCCAGCCTGGCCGCGCGATTTGCGCCTGGCCGTCCAGCGCGACAGCGTA